CTCTATTCTCTTTTTCTACAAAATCCGTTTCTTGCTCTGCATTTCCCACAACAAAGCTCTTTCCCAAGCCCAGTCTCATATCAACCAAGAGTGCAGCATTATGCTGATCTTGGGAGCCAGAAATTTCTGAGTGAGTCAGCTGACTTACTTAGAACTGTCCCTGAGTTCCACCTCACAGCCCCCCCAGCCAGCTGGCTCTCAATCCACTGGTAAAGCCAGATAAACAGCTAGATTAAATTCAGCAATTATATGTTTGTATGTTTTATGTCCGGCAAGCTAGAAGGGTATCCAGCCCGCACGGCAGAGCCTGGCAAGCCACCCATGATGTACCAAATATGCCAACAACAGTAGCTAAAATGGGTCTCATTTCCCTAACCCTGAAGGAGTCTCCAGCTGAGTTGGGAAGAACAAGAGGGCTTGTACAGAGCAGACGGCACGCAAATCAATGGGTGGGAAGGTGCCCCGCAAGCAGCTGGCCACCAAGGTGGCCCACAAGAGCATGCCAGCCACAAACATTGTGAAGAAGCCGCACCGGTACTGGCGACACCAGGGTGCCGCGTGAGATCTGCCAGCTGCCATTCCAGTGGCTGGTGCATGAGATCATATAGGACTTCAAGACCGACCTACGTTCCCAGAGCTCAGCCGTCATGGCCTTGCAGGAGGCGTGCGAGGCCTACCTGGTGGGACTCTTCGAGGATGCCAACCTCTGCTCATTCCCACCAAGTGCGTCACCATTATGCCCAAGGACATCCAGCTGGCGTGCCACATCTGCGGAGAGAGAGCATAAAGTTTACGTCGCTAAAATCTTAAGGCTGGGACAAATGGAGATGCTACTGGTGCCCGCTGGAGTAATCGATGATTAACGGGATGACAGTGACAGTAACATTCTATGTCCATCATTTGTTGTAGGTTGTAAATGAGTTACAAGCATCTAGGCTGTGTCTAGTTGTTTTTAGTTTGGGGGCCACACCCAAGATGCTCAGGGGTACCCCAGTCCTGGCTCTGTCTATTTTAAAAAGAATAATTTCTGGGGCCTTAGTGATAGTACAGTGGATAAGGTGCTTGCCTTGCACAAAGCTGACCCTGGCATCCCGTATGTTCCCTTGGGCACCACCAGGAGTGATAACTGAGTACAGAGCCAGGAGTCACCTCTGAGCATCGCCAGCTGTGGCCCCCAAACAGTAACAACAGCAAAAAGCACTATTCCTAATCAAAGAACTACAAAAATTTTCCTGGACATTTAGAATTCTCTTGAGTTAAAGACAGATCTAAATAAATAAATGAAATGGCCTGAATGGAATCTAGGAACTGCAAAAGTAAGATAAGAGAGGGGCCAGATAGGACAGTGGGTAAGGCCTGACCGGGGTTTGATCCCTGGTACCCCAGATGGTACCCTGAGCACTGCCAAAAGCACTGCCAAAATTTCCTGGGTCACAAAGCCAAAAGTAATCCATGAACATTGCCAGGTGTGACCCACAAACAAACAAAAAGTAATACTAAGAGAGATGAGACCTATCTTTCGTGGCTTCATAAAAGAAAAATCATGAGATTGAATTAAACAATTGTTTTTAGTTTGTTTGTTATGTTTTATATTGGGGCCACACCCAGTAATGCTCTGGGTCACTCTTGGCTCTGCACTCAGAAATTCCTCGTGATGGTGCTCAGAGGACTCTGTGGGATGCTGCGTGCAAGCCAAGTGCCTTAGCTGCTGTGCTATCTCTCCAGCCCCTTAACTGTTTTCTTTTTCACCAAATATAATGCTGAAAAATTCTATGCCGAACATTTATCATCTCTATAGCCAGATTTTTATGTGCCTTAATACCCACAAGTCTCCTCTCCTTGACTCTGAGTATTTTCAATTCACTGGGAGAGAAAACAGCTTATCTTCTGTGTTGGAATCTTCTGTGTTTTTGCTTCGCAGCCACACAGGCATTGTTCTGGGGTTACTCCCGGCCCCACAGTCAGGAATTACTCCTGGCAGGGGCTTGGGGAGCCATATGGAATGTGGGGGATCAAACGTAGAGTGGCTGCATGCAAGGCATGTGCCCTGCACCCTGCATGCTGTGCTTCTATTACTCGGCCTCCTTCGCCTGCGTATTTTTGTAGTCATCTCAGCGCAAGACTCATATAACTAGAAGTCTTTTTTGGTTTTGTGTTTTTGTTTTGGGGCCACACCCAGTGGTGCTCAGGGCTTAGTCCTGACTCTGTGCTCAGAGATCACTCAGGAGACCATATGAGTAATTTCTGAGTGCAGAGTCAGGAGTAATCCCTGAGCATCACAGGGTGTCACCTCCCCCCAAACCAAGATAAATTTAAAACACAGGGGTTCTAGCCCACTGAGCCATTTCTCTGTCTTGAGAGTAGCATATTGTTTCCCAACAGCGGGATGTGGAAGGGACGGGGTGCCACTCCCAGCAGTGTGTAGGGCTTATTCCTGGTTCTGTGCTCGGTGGTCATGCCTGACTGTGCTCAAGGGACCCTGTGTGTTGACAGGTATTGAACCAGGGTCGGCTGATTGCAAAACAATTACCTTAATACCTATACTCTCTGTCACTGTGAATACTGACATATTTTCTTATTTGTTATTTATTTTGGTGTATGAGCCACACCCAGCAGTGTTCAGGATTTATCCTTGGCTCTCAGGGAATACTCTTGTCTTACATGAGCCGGACCCAGTTTTGATCCCTAGGACCCTATATGGTCCCTCAAGCACCACCAGGAGTGATTCCTGACTACAGAGCATTGTACAGAGTAACCCCTGAGTATTGTTCGCTGTGACCAAAACACTAAAAAAATAATAAAATGATACCTACTTCCCAGCACGTTCTTCCTTAGGTTAGACCCACTGAACCCAGTGCCGCTTACATTATTGCTCTTTTGAGTTTGATTTATCATTTCAAAACTATCTTACACTTCTCTGAGAGAATGAAACTAAAACTCTATAATGTGCTTGGCAAGTAGACAGACCGAGATGGCATGGGGGTTAAGGTGGGGAAGGAATATGGGAACACTGGTGGAGGGAAGTTGGCACTGGTGGTGAAGATTGGCCTTAAAATATTATATGTCTAAAATTCAACTATCAATAACTTTGTAAATCACACTTCTTTAATGAAATAAATAAAGCTTTCCTTCTGGGCCAGAGTGATAGTACAGTGGACAGGGTATTTGACTTGCATGTGGCTGACCTGGGTTCGATCCCTAATACCACATATAGTCCTCCAAGCACTCCCTAAGCACTGAGCTGGGATTAAGTCCTGAGAACCACTTCCCCCTCCCCACCCCGAAAAACAAAACAAAAAAACAAAAACACACAACCTTTTTATTCTGGGTCAAGATGAATGCAACCCAGAACACACATTCACACATTTCCTGGTGAACCTTAGGGAATGTTTCCGTTGCAGTTCATTAGAAAAGGGCTGAGAAAAAGCAAAAGCCCAACTTGGTTTTGCAGTGATACAGGTATCAAATTTACAACTGGCTACTGAGTTCATTTCTAAGCAAAAGCAAACAAAACACAGATAACCACTGGCCAATTTTTCCAGATTAGTGGGTTTTCTCAACACTTTCACTTAAAAATCATATAATCATTTTTCATTCTGGAGCCGCAGCCGGGATGCTCAGGGCTAAGTCCTGGCTCTGCACTCAGGAACCACTTCTGGCGGGCTTAGGTGACCATATGGTGTACTGGGAATCGAACTCGGCTTGGCTGGGTGCCACGTCCAAAGCAAACATCCCACCCGCTGCAGTCTCCTGCGACCACATTCACTTTCTAAAACATTTACCCCTCCTCCACGGTTAGAGACTGCTGGGGAAATACACTTTCTTTGTGGCTTACTGGCCCTAACTTAAACCCCCACATTAGTGAGTGCCTTCTGGAATCTTTCCATCAATAGAATTGATCACTATGGCTTGGTGAAACCAATACAGTTTGGGAATTCCCAAACCGTTCAATGCTGGACCCTAACAAAGGATGGTGTTCCGAGTCCTGCCCAGCATCTCTGCCAGGACCCTGGCAGTCCCCTGGGGCACCCAAACCGCCTTCTCTGGAGCCTCTGAGAGTGAATGTTTCTATTTCTCTCCGTTGTGTGTGTGTGTGTGTGTGTGTGTGTGTGTGTGTTAAGCAATGGCTCCTTATCTCCCACACCACCGTCTACCTAAGAATATTTACTTCGGACCTGAGCCATAGTGCAGTAAGTAGGGCATTTGCTGTGCACGTGGTCGACTCCGGTTAGGTCCCAGCACCGTGTAGGGTCCCGAGCCCCAGTCCCGAACGCAGCGCCAGGAGTCAGCTGAGCATCGCTGGGGTGGCCGTCAATTATTTTTTTCCAATTTAATCAAGTCACATACCAAATAAGTTGTTAAATATGGACACTGCAATAGTTCACCATTTACCCTGAGTGCAACACAAAGGCGTGTGTCCTACGCGCATGCGCGCACCCACAGGGAGGGAGACACACACACACACACACACACACACACACACACGGCGCGCATACACCCCCATTATCATAACAAAAAACAGCGCTAGCGTTTAACATTCGGAACTTTTCTTCCGCACTTGAATCTGCACTCCTCCTGCGCACTCCTTTTCCGTCGATCAAATGTGCATTTCGGCATGAACTACAACCTCAGGGGCTTGAAGAGGAACAAAGACAAGTTTTCCCCATCACACTGGGAGCAACAGAGAGCGCGCCACCGCTAACCCTCCTGCAAGGCCGGAGCGCAGGCGCGGGGGCTTCTGGGAACTGTAGTCCGGTGGGTCCGGCACGGGGGCTCAGGGCCGCAGCAACGCGAAGGCACCACCACGAACAAATCCCCCTGGAAGGCCGGAAGGCGGGGCGCGGGGGCTTCTGGGAGTTGTAGTCCGGCGGGGCCCGGCAACGGGGCTAAGAGCCGCAGAACGCGAAGGCACCACCGCGAACAACCCCCCCTGGAAGGCCGGAAGACGGGACGCGGGGGCTTCTGGGAGCTGTAGTCCGCCCGCAGGCCGCGCACCCCGCACCCCGCAAAGTCATCCGGGTTACTTCCGCGCACAGACGGAACCGCCCGCGGCTTTCTTTTCCGCTGGAAAATTCTGCTCCCGACTTCCCCGGGACTGTTGGCTGAAGTTCGCCGAGCGGCGGCGGGGAGAGCTCGGGCCGCCGGACGTCGGGTCGGGGGACGCAGAAAGGTGGGCGAGGGGTCCCGGGTGCAGGGGCGAGGCCGGGGCGCCCCGGCTCGGGAACAAAGAGTGGGGGGCCAGGACGGCGGCGCGCGGGCTGGTGGGGGGCGGGCGGGGGCCGCCTCCATCCCGGGCAGTGATGGTTCCGTGAGGCTGGCCCGAACCTGCCCCGCAGCACCTGCGGATCCCGCGCCCGGGCCGGCGCCGCGCGGGCACCAGGACGTTCGTCGGGTGGTACGGGTCGCGCTCTGCAGGACAGGGGGGGTCCATCCCGCGCCCCTCCCCTGCTTTCCCAGGCTGCACTCGCTGCGTCGTGTTCCCGGACCCAAGGTCCTGGGCGGGGGCGCGCGACCCTCGCGGGAGGGGACAGCGGCGGGTCACTCGGCGGGGTCGGTCCCCCTGCGACCCCCGTCCGCGGCGTGCGGGCCCGGCTCTCCTCTGGCCTTTGTTCCCGAGGTTCCCTTCCCGGGGGTCCGGCTCTCCTTTGGGCCCGCGCCAGCGCCGCGCCCGCCCCCAGAGCCCGCCCCGCCCTGCAGGGGGACGGACGGTCCACCCTGGACCGGCTTATTGTGTCCCTGAAGTCACGCCTGCTGCAGAACCGAGCGCAGCGGGGGGCTGGAAACGGAGCCTGGACGTCCAGGGTGCGGGGTGGGCAGCGGGGGAAAGTTTGGGGAGGGGTCCCGCTCGGTGGGGTGAGGTCGGAGGAGGGGCCTCGGCTTCGGGGACACGGGGAGGGGCGGGAGGAGCACGGGGGGAGGGGCACGGGGGTCTCACGTTGAAGGGAGCAGAATGGGGGGGGGTGGCGGAGACGAGTGCAGGGGTGAATGAGGAGGGCAGGACTCCAGGGCCCCACGGCAGAGTCCAGTGTGGACCGGAGTGGAGGTCCAGCGGGGAGACGCCGGCCCGCATCCCATATGGTCCCGCACCACCGGGTGTGCCCAGAAAGGAGAAAGAAAGGTCCATGTGCTAGGGGACGCGGGGCGGAGACAGGGAGAAACTGAGGCACTGAGCGTTTTCCCCAAGGGGCGCTGTCACCCCACTCTGGCGCCAGTGATCGGTGGGGGGTGGGGAGGGTCATGCTGTCAGCTGCAGTTGAGGGGCGCTTCCTGGAGTTTTTCTGTTATGGGCACGCCCTTGGGTGCTCGAGGCTCACTCCCGCTCTGTGTTTAGGGTCCATTCCTGGGGGGGCTCCGGGGACCCCTGGGGTTCCGGGGAGGGACCTAGGCCGGCCCCCTGCAGGCAGTGGCTTGGCGTGAGGGGCGCTTGCTGGTGGTTGGCCCAAACAAGGCGGATTTCTAGGGAGAATTAGTGATTCTTGTTTTCTGAAAGGGAGGGAGTAGGCTAAAGTTTCCTCAGCATTGGAATCGCTCTGGGGGTCAGGTGGTCTAACCCGTGGCAGATGGAACTGATGCCACTCAGGCAGTGGTTGGCACTCAGGGCTTTAGCTGGGACAGTCACATTTCCGGGGAAGGTAGCAGAGCCGGTGGCAGCCGGACTGGATTTGACCCCCGGCATCCCCGTTGGGTCCACTGAGCACCTCCAGGAGTAATTCCTGAGTGCAGAGGTTTTGTCCTGATTGTGTGTCCCCCCCCAGAAAGAAGGTGTGCTTTAGAGGACACCTAATCCCGGGCGTTCCCCCCAAAGAGAAGGTGTACTTTAGGGGACACCTGGGTGTGTCCCCCCAAAACGAAGGTGTGCTTTAGGGGACATCTAATCCCAGTGTGTCCCCCAAAAAGAAGGTGTGCTTTAGGGGACAGAAAGGTGCTCCCCGTAGCCTGGAGCCCTGTAGGGCAGCCCAGGGAATTTGTAGGGAGATGGAGTGTGGGTGCTCCGCTCCGTGACCGCATTCCGTTCCAGCTCCACCAAAAGGGAAGGTGATGCCCTGTAGAACGTTTAGGTGGGTCATGGTAAAGTGAGCACATTGTATAGCGGCATCACAAAGTGATGCCAAGGGAACTCCTTGGTAAGGGCATGTGACCATTTCTCCCTGTGTGCAGGTGGCATTTGGGGTGTTTTCTGCCTTAGAGAATTTTATACACAATTCCTTTTCGAGGGACCCGGAGTTACAGGAGGCATTTCTGCATGAGAGCTCTGTTTTCCTTGGAAAATGTAGCTCTCATGAAGCAGAAAGGGGGCTCAGTCCTGTGTCCTTGCCACATGTTTCAACCACATTTGCTCTTTTCCTTTGTTAGGGGAGGGAGGTTGGGCCACACCCAGCTGTGCTCAGGCCTTACACCTGGCTCTGCCATCAGGAATTACTCCCGTCCATGTGAGGCGTGTGGGAGGGGGACACCATATGGGGTGCTGGGGATCCAGCCTGGGTTGGCTACGTGTAAGGCAAGTGCCCTACCCACTGTGCTTTCTCTGGCCTGGCGCCACATTTGTTCTCAGCACCATGTTGGAGAAAAGCTTTAGAACAAATAGATATTTTGCCAGAAACTGTGCCTATCCTTTTTTACCCCTTATTTTTCTGTTGATTGTGGGTTTTCAGCAGTTAATGATGAAAACAAATGTTTCTGACTTAGTGGACATTTTTTTTTAGAATTCTTTTTCTTGCGGGGTTGGGGTGGGTTGTTTGGTGATCCTTCTACATGCAGGGGGACCATATGGAATGCCACAGATTGAACCCGGGGTTGGCCCTGTGCAAGGCAAGTGCCCTACTCTCTGTACTATCGCTCAGGTCCCTTTTTGAGAATTCTTTTGTTTTGATTTTGGTGGGTTTTTGCTTGTGTTTTGACACACTGACTGTGCTCAGGGCATACTCAGGCTCAGGCTCTGCACTCAGGGATCATTCCAGGCAGACTTGGGCGTCTGGGCATTGAACCCAAGTTGGCCACATGCAAGGCAAACACATGACCTGTTGTACTGTCTCTCCGGACTCAAGAATTCTTTGCTCGACTGTCACCCATACAATGGGAAAATTGGACTCCTTGACAGAGGTGCTCTTAACCAATTACTCAAGTTGAAACTAAAGCAAAGTCAACTGCCTGTAAAAGTTATAAGAGTGGGGGCCGGAGAGATAGTGCAGTGGGTAGGATGCTTGCCATGCATATGACAGACCCAGATTTGATCTCTGACATCCTGTATGGTCCCCTGAGCCTGCCAGGAATGCTGTCTCAGCACAAAGCTAGAGTAAGTCGTGGGCACTACCAGGTGTGTCCCTTCAAAAATAAAAACCAGAAGTACGGGTGTCCCAGAATAACCACTAATATGGAATGCGATGATCAGGAATATAACTTAACACTGTTTTTTAAGGGTGTTCAACTTTCGTTGGGGGTGAGGGGCATGCATCATACCTGACTGTGCTCAGGCCCTATTCCTGGGTCTGTGCTCAGAGATCACTCCTGGTGGGTTCAGGGCACCCTGTGGGATGCGAGGGATTGAACCCAGGTCAGCCACCTGCAAAGCAAACGCCCTTCCCTAGTGCTATTGCTCCCACCCCAGGATGTTCATTTTCAAAGTCAACGTGTAGGAGATCGCTCAGGTGGGAGAGCACTTGCAATGCACTGAATAAAACACTGAGTTTTCCCCTGGTGCTACAGTGTGTCACTATGACATATAATAACCCCAAGGTTTTGCAGGCACAGCTGGACCCAAGGTCAGAGTCACCCTGCCATCTCTGTGAGGCCTCGTGTTGTCAGAAGTGTCCCCAAAGCCTTCCCCCCACCCCCACACTAAATTTCTCAGAGCGTGGCCCATAAAGCATCCATTTGTAGCTTTGCATGCCAGCTACTCAATCACTGAATATTAGAGCTGGAGTGATAATACAGCAGGAAGGGTGCCTGCCCTGCACGCAGCTGACCTGTGTTCAATCCCCGGCATCCCATTGGGTCCCGCCATGCAGAGCCAGGAGTAACCCCTGAGCACTGCTGGGTGTGGCATAGAAATTAAAAAAAATCAGTGAGTCTTGTGTGTTTTCTTTAACTAAAATGAAATTAGACACGTATTCTGTTTGGGTTTTTTTTTTCTTGGGCTTTTTGGGTCACACCTGGCGGTGCTTGGGAGACCATATGGGATGTCAGAGATCAAACCCATGTCGGCCATGTGCAAGGCAGATGCTCTCCCCCCTATACTATTGCTCTGGCCCAAATTATACACGAATTCTGCCAATTCATCCATGCGGGTCCTATGCCAGCACCCTCAGGAGTCTCTCTTCCATCTTTTCCAGTTAGTGAGTAGAAAGCCTCGGGATTGGAGGAGGAGGAGGAGGAGGAGGAAGCCACACGTATCCTTTCCTGCCTGTTCCCGGCTTCCCTCCCAGCTCTGCTTCCAGAGCTCTCCGTGTGTAAGAGCAGAGACCATGAACACATCTCGGGTGAGTTACTTTGTTTTTTTCCCTCATTTGTTTTACATGACATACAATGAGTAGGGGGTTTTTTTGGGGGGGTGGTTGTTGAGTGTTTCCTAAGTTAAAATGAAAAGGTAGGGTAGGGACCAGGGAGGTGGTGCAGAAGGACCGACACTTGCCTTGTGACTATGGTGGCCACAACCCTGATTCAAATCTGCAACACTGTGTGAGTTCCCTGCGTGACCCCCAGGGGTCAGTCCAGAGCACCGAGCCAGGAGTAGACCCAGAATACTGCCCTGTTTGGCCAAACTCCCCTCCCCATTTCCAAAGAAATTTTTTAAAGGAAAAGGAAAGGGGTCAAAATGATAGTACAACAAGTGAGGCATTTGCCTTGCACATGGGTGACCCAGGTTCAATCCCTGGCACCCTGCCCAACCCCCCAACCCCCCCCAAAAAAGGTAGATATAAGTAATTTTTCATTTCATGGAAATGTATATGAACAACCAAAAGCTGGCATGGAGATTACCAGCAGGTAATAGCATCATAGAGTTATACAGATGTTGTCGTGTGTGTGTGTGTGTGTGTGTGTGTGTCTGTCTGTCTGTCTGTCTGTCTGTCTGATTTTGCTTTGGGCCATACCAGCTGTGCTTTGTTTGGGGTTGTCCCTTTGAGGCTCAGAAATCTAACCCAGGGCCTCCTACATACAAACCACATGCTCCTCCACCAATTTTGTGATGTCTCCAGGACCAGGGTGTACCTTTAAGAGAGCATGTTGATGCTGAATGAAATGAGTCAGAAGAACAGAAGGAGAGGGACAGATATAGAATAACAGCCTTCATTTGTGGGATATAAAAAAAGAAGTAGTATGAGACTAATATCTAATGCCAGGGAAAACGGGCCAGATGGACTAGTTGGAATCTACCACAAGTGTGTGTGGGGTGGAGGGTAGGTAAGATAGAGAAGGGACCAGTATGACAATAATGGATGGAAATGATCACACTGGACAAGAACTGAGTGTTGAAAGTAGGTAAGGGGATATACATGATAACCTTTCAGTATCTGTATTATAAACCTATAAGACGCATAAGGAGGGAAGGTGGGGGAGAGAGGGAGACAGAGACAGAGAGACGGAGGGAAAGTGCCTAGTGAGATAGCATAGCCGGTAAGAAGAGTACCATAGGGAATGGGGTTGGGGAAGGGAAACGGGAGACTTTGGTGGTGGAAAATGTGTGTTGGTAAAGGGACGGGTGTCGGAACATTATATGGCTGAAATCTAATCATAAACAACTTTGTAACTGTGTATCTCACTGTGATTCTATTAAAAATTAAATTTAAAAGTTGAAAAAGAAAAAGAAGCCATGTAATGGGGCCAGGGTGGCAGAACAGAAAGGAGGCGCTTCTCTTGCACACAGCCATCAGGGTTCCATCCCTGGCACCACATATGGTTCCCCTGAGCCTGCCAGGAATGATCACTGAGCATAGAGCCAAGACTAAGCCCTGAGTGTAGCCAGGCCTGGCCCATAAACCGCCCCCAAAAGTGGGAGGGGGGTTCACTCATTATTGTTTCTCACTAGTTGGGGTCGTTTTCTGCTGCTTTTAGATGGTTTTTGTTTTTTTACTTTTGGGGCGATAGCACAGCAGGTAGGGCGTTTGCCTTGCACACAGCCAACTCAGTCAAACCGAGTTTGGTTCCTCTGCCCCCGGAGAGCCCGGCAAGCTACCGAGAGTATCTCGCCTGCGTGGCAAAGCCTGGCAAGCTACCCATGACGTATTCCATATACCAAACACAGTAACAAGTCTCACAATGGAAACGTTACTGGGCCCGCTCGAGCAAATCGGTGAACAACGAGAGGACAGTGCTACAGTGCTACTTTTGGGGTGGGGAGCATTGTCCACACCTAGCAATGCTCACAGGTTACTCCTGACTCTGCACTCAGGAATTACCGTTGGCCATGTTTGGGGGACCATATCGGGTATCCGGGATAGAACCCAGGTCTGCCACTTGCAGGGCCAGCCCCCTCCCTCCCCACTCTATTATTGCTCTGGCTCCTGGGTGTTTGTTTTTTGAGAATCACGCAAGCAGTGGTGAGTGAGACCAGGAACTGCTGGTAGTGAAAGTTATTCAGCAGACCAGGCAGTTCAATGATGGACCCAAGGGTGCAGACCTGTTTATTTTGTTTTGGGGTCTTACCCAGCAATGCTCAGGGCTTATTCCCGGTTCTGCACTCAGGAATCACTCCTGGCAGTGCTCGAGGTACCATATGGGATGACAGGGATCGAACCCAGGTTGGCAGCATACAGGGCACAGACCTTACCCGTTGTGCTATTTCTCTGGCCCCGGATGCGACACTCTTGAGGTCCTGGTGATGCTCATGGGCCACCAGGCTCCCCCATTGCTGAACTCATGCAGCACCAGAGTGGAGGGATCAAATGGAGTCTGGTGCATCCAAATCTGCCTGCCTGCCCTAGGATATTTATATTCTAAAATCTGTCATGTATAGTCTTGCTTCTTAGACTGTGGTTGTAACCCTATCTGGAGTTGCAGAACAGAATGTGGGCTTCGGCCAAAAGTTGGAAATTCTCAAAGGTTTCTGAGCCTGCAGTGAACAAACATTGATTCAAAGTCAAATGCGGAATGAAACTGGGGCATCTCTGGCGGTACTTAGCCAGGTTGCGTTTCTCTGGCGAAAAGAGGTCACGAGGAGCTGAAACAACAGCACAGAGGGGAGGGCGCTTGTCTTGCTAGCGGCTGTTCTGGGTTTGATCCCATAGGGTCCCCTGAGCACTACCAGAAGTGGTTCCTGAGCACAGAGCCAGAGGTAACCCCTGAGCATGGTCGACTGTGGCCTCAAAACCAAAACCCAGAACCAAAGAGGTCATGAGCAAAAGGTTGACCAAACCCTGCTCTAGAGTTCATCTTACCTGTATCTTTCCCAGGATTGTGTTCCATTTTTTTCTTTTTTTTTTTTTTATTTCTTTTAGACCATATCTGGCAATGCTCAAGGCTTACTTCTGGCTCTGCACTCAGGGATCATTCCTGGTGGTACTCAGGGGATCATATACGGTGCCAGATACTGAACCCAGGTCCCTTGCCCACTGTGCTTTCTCTCTGGCTCTCCGGATTATGTTTCCTCCAGTCAGTTGCCATTCAACTTTCCAATCTCTAATGCCCTAACTCAGTTCTTACCCTCCCCCTGCCCTCATTTTTATAGTTTTGGCCACATTTAGCAGTACTCAAGGCTTCCTCCTTGGCTCTGGCGGAGCCAGAGAGAAGTGGCCAAAATCACTCCTCTCTTAAAATCACTCCTGATAGGATTGGGGGACCCTATGTGATGCCTGAGATCAGACTCAGGTGGGCCATGTACAAGGCAAGCGCCCTACCACACTGTCTCTCCAGCCATGGAAGGATTTTTGATGAGGTAAATAAGCCAATAGAAAATGACGAAAATGGGGCCGGAGCGATAGTGTAGCGGGGAGGGCATTTGCCTTGCATGTGACCCACCTGGGTTCGATCCCTGGCATCCCATATGGTCCCCCAGGCACTGCCAGGAGTAATTCCTGAGTACGGAGCCAGGAGTAACCCCCTGAGCATTGCCGGGTGTGACCCAAAAAGCAAAAAAAGAAAAAAAGGAAAGAAAAGAAAATGATGAAAAAGTTGACCTCATAAAAGCAGAGTAGAAGAATGGGAAAATAATGCAGTGGATGAGAAAATGAGAGAGTTTGGTGGAAGGATACAGTCTTTCACTCATAAGACAAGTAGATTTTAAGACTGTAATATACAAGATGGTGCCTATAAATCTATGGATTAAATAGTCTATTTTTAAAAGTAATAATATATTATATAATTTGACCATTAGTTTTCTTACCAAACAAGTACACAACCCAGATGTTCGTTGCTTGTGGCAATTCTTTTATAATGCATATATACATCAGGTGGTACATTTTATTGATTTATTTTGGTTTGGGGGTCATCCCTGGCAGTGTTCAGGACTTACTTCTGGCTCTTCATTCAGGAATCACTCCTGGAGGGGCTCAGGGGACCGTATAGGATTCCAGAGATTGAACCCAGGTCAGCTGTGTGCAAAGCAAGCACCCTGCCCACTGAATTACCTCTCCAGTTCTAGATGATTGCTGTAAAGGTAAAGGTAAAAGGTAAAGGCCCTCCCGTTGATCGTCGATTTGCTCGAGCGGGCCCAGTAACGTCTCCATTGGAGACTTTGTTGTTACTGTGTCTGGCATATCGAATACTCTCGGTAGCTTGCCGGGCTCTCCGAGAGGGGCGGAGGAATCGAACTCGGGTCGGCCATGTTGGCCGCTTGTAAGGCGAACGCCCTACCTGCTGTGCTATGTAAACATCTATAATTTGTGACTGGGGCAATAGTAGAGCAGGGATGGCATTTGCCTTGTATGCAGTGGATTGGGGCATCCCATATGGTCCCCGAGCACCACCAGGAGCAATTCCTGAGTGCAGAGCAAGGAGTAACCCTTGAGCATCGCTTGGTGAGACCCCAAAAAACAAAAACAAACAAAAAGACTCACTCTGGTCCCCGGCTAAATTCCATGTCCTTCCTTCCTTCCTTCCTTCCTTCCTTCCTTCCTTCCTTCCTTCCTTCCTTCCTTCCTTCCTTTTTTGTTGTTGTTTGGGGCCACACCCGGCAATGCTCAGGGGTGACTCCTAGATCTGCTTAAGGGATCACTCCTGGCAGTTCTCGGGAGACCATGTAGGATTCCAGGATGAGCTGGGGTAGGCAGCATGCAAAGCAAGCGCCCTTCCCCACTGTGTTCTCCTCTGGCCCTCCTTGTTATTTCAATCCCAGGAAATCTTTCTCTCTCCTCTCTACTTCTCGTTTTGCTATGTTAACGTGCATAATTTGCCAGGTCTAGGGTAGATTTGGTGTTCTTTCTAACTTCCCTGCTTCGCTATCACTATTACACGTATAAGAGGAAATCCTTTCCTCGATTTCTTCTCCCACTCCACTTAGAAACGAGTTGTTTAATCTCCATGTGTGCAAATGATTGTTCCATTT